CCCCCCCCCGCCCGTGGTAGCCGCTCACCCGGCACCACAGGGTGACGTGGGAGCCCTCCGTGCGGTAGAGGGGACCCTCCTGCACCGTCACTTGGCGCTGCGCTAGGGCCATGCCTGCAGGAGAAGAACAGCCATATGTGACTTTTCAGCAGGTGCCTCCCTCACCTCCCGTGGACTGCGGGCGGGCTGGCACTTATCAAGGCCAGGGCTAGTGAGGAAAGCATGGGGACATTGTGACTTCAGCTGCCACCCGTCCCCGGAGCTATGACTACTACAAAGAGCTGGCGGGGCACCACATCATCCCCGCTAAGGAGGCAGGTGATGGGCAATACCTCAAGGAGCAAGGGGGCAGCTCAACTACATTAGCATCACATGCCCACGTTCCTACTTTACAGGCAGAGGGAATGCTTTTCACTTGAGCATTATTCAACTCGCATGACAGCCGTGTGAGATAAGGTCAAACACTGCTCTCACTGGCAGACAGGTGATGAGCAACTTGCTGAAGAGCAATAAATGAGCCAGGAGCCAATCTCTGAGCAGGACCACGTGTCCCAGCAGCCCGTCCTGAGGCAGCACTCTGACTTTTCTACCCCTTCCACCACACGCCTACCAGTTTTCCTACGGGTGCACGCGGCAAAGCAAACCCTCAAACCCCATTTTAAAATCAGTATATGACACTCTGTCCCAGCAACCTCCCAGCCACATCAAAATTTTCTTGCTGACTCAAGGAGAGTGGTTTTTTTTTTTTTTTAAACACCCTACTAAAAAGTGGTTTTGAGATAATATAAATCCTTTCTTCGGTAGTGATAAGAGTCCAGACAGAGAAAGGTATTGTGCTACACAATAAGAAATCAGATTAAAAACTAGAACTGGCAGGGCTTAGCTGCCAATACTACTCTTACTTCTTCTCCAAGTCCCTTCTGCAATAATGTCTAGTTTAAAGGCTACCTGGCTAACCATTCTGTGACAAAAGAGTCATTCTTGTAAAATGAGCTCCTTAAACTGACTCTGCTGGTGGGAGAGTGCAAGCAGAGCAGATGCGCAGACGTGGTCTAGCAGCGATTCACGGTGCCCATCGCGGTGCAGCCAGCCTGAGATCGTCCCTACCCAGGCAGAGGCCCGTATGTGAGATGAGCAGCCGTGCTCTCCCTCTTGCTCTCCTTGTGCCTCTGGGTTATCTGACAGCAGCACCATTTCAGGAAGGCTGCTCAATGCTTCACCAAGGACAAAACCCCGTTCCTTCTCCCTCAAATCCAGCACACCTTCTACATCCAGTCTTTCTGCTACACTTGTAAAGGCGTACCATAAAATGTCGCACTTCCAGCACTGCACTCAAACTCTATTTGAAAGGAGTATATTTAGCACATAACAAAAACAATTACAGTTAATGGAGGGAGCGGGCCTACTACACTCTAAGACCTGCCGCCCCTGGCTGCTGGAAATCAAGACCAAGTATTGCACACTGGACACATGCAACCCCTTGCAGGCAGGACCGCTGGATGGAACAAAGACAGGATGACTGCAATCTGCTGTATTTTTACACAGATTATGGATGGATGGCCCTCGGGCTCATGGCACATTACCAGCACAGCCCTCCAGGGGCCAGATAAATTACAGCAATCTGTCTTGTTTGTTGCTACATCAAAGGCTCTGAGGTTCGGAGACCAGGGTGAGTGTTCATCGGTTATTGAGTTACCGGCAGCATGTGCACATGGCAAGGCCAATCACCCTGGCTTCTGCAATTGCTTACTTGCAATCATAAAACAGCAATAAGCCGATTCAAAGCAGGTCCAGTATAATCACGTTTGTAAATTTTATCCTGTGCATGTGAACACATGCACATTTTTTTCTTTAATTTTAAATAACAATTTTTAAGTCCAGAGAAGAATTTAATCTGTCAAAAACTAGCAACTTGCAAGTGAAAGAGGTAACTTGACATTTGAGGATTACTGACTCAGTCCCTGCCTCTGGACATCAGAGTCCAGACACAAAGTTTCCCTCAACAGACACCTTGGACTGAAGCCAGGAGAGATGGTTCTTACCAGCTTAAAACAAATTGTGAAAAATGGGTTCAGCACATCCATCAGGCCATGCAACTGAACAGATGGAGTGCAATTCAAACTATTAAGTTGGGCTCAGCTTACTGCTGCTCCAAATTATGTTTCTTTTTACTCTTTATGAAATAATGTGATTTAAGAGGAGGACAGGGAAAGCTAGCATGTTTAAAACTAACAAGGGAGAAGAACGGCAGAGGCAAACACTCCCACACTGTTTTGCTATACCAGTCTCTTCATCCTGGGGAAAGACATCACTAGAGACAATTAACATCTAAGATGCAGACAACCTCTTCTCTTGCCCTGTAAAGGCCAAAGGACAGACTAAACACTACAACCTTTGAAATAAAAAACTGTTTTCAAAGCAGGACGGCTAAGATCTTTATTACATACCCATTAGGTATTACCTCATAATCAAATGTTTGTATATACGTGTAGCCTTGCTACAGCATACAGATATCCTGCATGCAATAATGCAATTAAAATTGCGCTACAGTGCAAACATGCAGGGGTAGAAATTAAAAGTTGCACATAGACACAACATTCACTTGGGGTATTTGGGGTATATTTTGGCTTTTGAGGAGATGTCCTTGTTTTGCAGGTTTTTAATGCAGTACTGGCGCTGTTATTTGGGAATTCTTTCAGGAGTTCTCCAGCCACCCAACAGAGAAACAACATTTTATCAGAGACCTGCGTTGGCCTCCCCCCAGTTCGTTGGCAAGACCACAACCTTGGGGACCCACAGCGCAGATCTCCATACCCTGATGTACGCAGCCACCCGGTAGCGGTCATATTCCACCCCTGCCACGGGCCAGCACTAACGCGCGTCTCCTTATCCCCTTGCCAATGGCTTTCAGGATTCTGCTGATAACTCTACAATCAGGGGTCCTGATCCAGGTTCGGAAGAGACACTCCTTCTACGTTTTTCCTCTTCTATTCCCTCGCTTTCAGCCTCCTTGCCTCTGCAAAGATTGCTGCAATTTCCCACCTCGCTTTGCTGATCCAGCTAAAACAGGATGTCAGGAGCAGAAGAGCTCCCCATTTTCTAATCCGGCTCTAGGAACCAGAACAGTTGGGGAACAGGAAAAGCCAGTGCAGGAAAAGCCCTGCCCAGCTCTGGGGGTGGCAGGAAGACAAAACTGCCAGGGTTCTGCTACAACTTGCAGCAAATTTCTGTTCAGGCTCTGAGAGCTGGGACATGAAAGCTCTTCAGTTGGTTGAACTGGAGGGATTTTTCAGATGGGCAGGAAGAAGCGAGTCTGCAGAGCTCTTCCTCCTGCCTACTTGCAAATTCCTGTTTAATGCAAATGTGCACAAGAGTTTCTCAACGCTAAAAGAAAATTCACACAGCATAAGCAAAAATACTTCTCAAACAACTACTTTTAACAGATAGGGAGGAAGAAAAACAACCAGCCTGAGACAGACATCCACAATCAAAAGTTTCCTCCTCAAATGGTTAACATTTTGCACAGTGAAGTGTGTTTGGCAGTTTTCTAGCTCTGGGAATTGCTGTACCCATGCATACACAATATCAAGTAAAGAACAACATTTCTTAGTGAGCAAACATTTTGATTAACAAAATAACATGCCTGAGACCCCATGCTTAAACTCTTATCTTCTCTTGAAGTGAGCGGAGAGCTCAGTGAAGGAAGAGTTTTGTGCTCCACACCTCCCTTAGGAAGCCTAGGAGACAGTTACAGTTGGCATTTGGCTGGTACTCCATTGGCACAGCTGGCTTTTAATTGCAAATCCAATATAATTTACTGACAATGCAAGGGCTGATATGGAGGAGGTAGAGAGCCAAGAGCTACTTTAAAATTAATAAGAAATGATAGGTTTGTGCATCTGCTATTTTCCAAGAGGCAGCAAATCCCTTCTGATAAGGAAGGAGCGTTCCCTGATCCTTATCCCCTACAGATGAGGACTATTGTTGTGGGCCTTTTGAGGGAAGAACAAGCAAAACAACCACCAGGCAGCTCTTAACACTTCTGCTGGCTTATGCGTCTCTCAGGCCCTGTTTCGGAGAAAGGAGGCAGCTGGGGGGAGAAGGAGGCAGAAGCGCAGCAGCCCTGCAATGAGACTCAAGGTCAGGCAGCAAGGGGATGGAGGAGGACTCCCAAGTGGGGCACCTCCCCACAAACCCTCTCCAGGGGCTATGGCCTTTCTCATGTTAAACACTTTTGAAAAGTGGGTGAAAAGGGACAGCTTTTTCTGCATGGCAAGGGGATTCAGATAAGAGAAATGTCACATCCGAGTCGCTCGGCTGTTCACGTGCCCTTTTCCATGTTTCAGCCAAGGCTTAAATGCCTCTCCATTCAACCTAAGGGCAAGAAAGCAGCATTGTGCATTCCTCTAGCAGATGCACTTCACCCAGAAGTGTTGCAACACGGGTTCTTAACATGCACTCTTTTCAAAATTTATGCCTTTACAGCAATGTCAATTGACTATGGCACCACCTAATCTTTCCATCTGGTGACAGTTAGAGCTCAGAGCTCACGTCTTCAGACAGAACTGGTCACTTCAGGTGCGTTATTTTAAACATGTTGAAGACGTGCCATTTCAGAAAGTACCAAGCACATACTCTTTGGGGAGGAGGAGGATGAATATTCAGGTCCCTTTTATAAGGACAGGCACGCAAAATTGTACCTGAGAACATCGATTCAAGGTCCATCACAAGGGATAAGTGGGTAGAATAAAAGAAAGGATGGCTGTGCACACAAACTCTACCACAACATTGACACAAAAGAATAACTGAAAATGAGGAACAGAATGACCAGGAACACCTTGCACAAACACTCTCCCCATTTTATAAAGTGTAGGTTACACCTACACCACATACAGGGGCACAACAACAAGTTGCATCAAGATAGCTTAGAAATCAAGAGTCACTGTCAAAATACCTTTAATCTAAAAGAGAAACCTTTGCTCTTGAAGGAATATCATCCTGGGTCTCCAATCATTATCCGCCACCCCCCTCCCCAAGCCTTTATATTTTCCACATCTTCCACAAGCATAGGGATGACAGCTCTGAACACCAAACAGATGATGTCGCTTGAGG